TGTCCATAGTACATATATAGGTATATTCCAAGATGCAGTGTACATTTTTGGTATATACATGGGGTATATTCCGAGGATGTGCAGTGCACGTTCGCAGTATGTACATAGGATACATTCCGAGGATGTGCAATACACATTCGTGGCATGTACATGAGGTACATTCTATGTATGTACATAGTATATACAGTACGTTTTTTAATAATAAACAATTTTCATTTATTCGGATATTTATCTACCCAATTTTTGAACAATTAGTTTATCTAAATTCCCTGTGTTGGGATTCAGATATTAAACTAATAGAAAAAGTTATTACATCTTCAAATTGAAGACTTCAATATTATTATCCGCCTTTTGCAAGTTTATATATATATATATAGTTTTCATGATTAAAACTTAAATACGAGATAGATAGCGCATAATGCGTTACATAGCGGCAAGCGAACGAACTAATGACTGATTCTATGTATATCCATACGATATCCTATGTATATCCATAAATGTACCTACATCAACGTATATCGTATGTATGTACGTTACATGTATTATATACTACATGGAATGTACACGAGGTATATTCTATGTATGTACAGGCAGCGATCTCGTTCAAATATACATTCTATGTATATCCATAAATGTACCTACATCAGCGTATATCGTATATACCCATACAGCACAAAACATTCTCAGGATATCCTCAGGACATCGAGGATATTTCGGTGTCCCAAAGATGTTCTGAAGACATCAAGATGTCCTAAGGATATGTAGGATATTTTGTGCTGTATGGGTATGTATGTTACATGCAGGGTTGAGAAGTAACGCGTTACTTGTAACGCGGTTACCGTTACAATTACTTTTTTTCGGTAACTGTAACAGTAACGGCGTTACAAATTTTTTTGTAACGAAAAAAGTAACTTTGTTACATTTTTCGGTAACGAGTAACGAATTTAAGTTATTTTTATTGTTACATTTTTTAAATTTACTCTATATATCTACGAATTTATAGAAAAACTAACAATAAGAAAACTTTTTAATTTATATTTACATCTAAAAATTTTTAAGAAAGCTGGTTTACAACTTATTAAAAATTTTTCTTATTTAAAATATCTTATTATCAAAATTATTACTTTTATTATATATTATTAAAATTATTACACTTTATATTAATAGCGATATTATTTTTCATCGTGTTAGCATGTTTCTTAAATTTACCGTTAATTTATTTGTTGGATCTTTCTGTACTGTGTTGTATGTGTTTTTATCCTCTAATATTTTTTCCATATCTGCTATATATTTAGATTTGTCCATTGCCACCGTGGTGTTCCCCTTGTCCGCTCTTGTAAATATTATATTAGGGTGTTTTTCGATAAATTCTTGTGTTTGTTTTTTATATTTAGTAATTAACTTTTTATTGTGATTTATTTTTGTGTTATTGTTTCACATATTATTTATTGTTTCTATGGTCTTATTTCTCACCACACTCTGCAATTCTTCGTCTTCTCTTTCTATATTTCTTTCTATATTTTTGATGAGTTCAATGGTATTTCGTTTTTTATTGTAATTAGGAAGATTGAACCGTTCTCCTAATTGTAATAAATATTGTACTTCTGTAGGTATTTGTGTTTCTGTCAGATTTATGAACCATTTATCTTGTACTTTGTGTAAATTTTTGCTATTATCTATGTTGAAGTTCATAGGTGATATGATTTGTTCTACGTTATTACCATTGTTCTTATTATTAATTATTATAGGTTTTATGTTTAACTTTATTGCAGAATGCCGTTGTGAAATGAACCATTTTAATTTTTTATCGTGTTGTTCATTTATGCATTTCCAAATTTTTTGCCTTCTTTTTTCTTGGAAATACATAAATTGATTTATAATATTTGTTGGTAATCTGTTGTATAAAGCTCTGAGTATTTTGCAAATTTCTTTTTTGTATTTTTCTAATTTTAAGTAATTATCTTTTATTTCTAATCTTAATATTCTTGTCTTTAATGTTTGGACTAATTTTTTTAATGCATTTTGGTGTCTGTTATAAGTAATTAAAATGTAACGTGTTAACGTGTAAATTATAGCGCTGAAGAAGGCCCAAAAAAAGGTGCCGAAACGTTCGAATGACAATTATATGTAAGATATATTAATAAATAGCACTTAGAACAGGCTAAGGCTCAAAAATAAGCGTGTATTATTATTTTAATATTTAAAAATTTTTAATGTTTACTGTAAATTTGAATTATTTAATTTAATCTTGTATTAGAAAAATTGTGCATAAAATTTGTATTATATATAAAAAAAAGTAACGGAAATTGTAACGATTCATTACTTTTTGAGTAACGGCAATGGTAACGAGTTCCTTTTTAAAATTGGTAACGAGTAACGATAACGAATTAGTTTTTAGAAAAAAGAACGATAACGGTAACGAGTTACTTTTACAAAGTAACTTTCCCAACCTTGATTACATGTATATACATGGAATGTACACGAGGTATATTCTATGTATATACAGACAGCGATCTCGTTCGAATATACATTATATGTATATCCATACGATATCTTACGTATTTATATCCATACATGTATCTACCTCAGCGTATATCGTATGTATATACGTTTGATGCATATACATGAAATGTACACGAGGTATATTCTATGTATATACAGGCAGCGATCTCGTTCGAATATACATTCTATGTATATCTATAAGATATCTTATGTATATCCACAAATGTATCTACATCAGCGTATGTATATCATATGTATGTACATAGTATATACAGTACATTTTTTCACATTATGTATATTTTATGTATATACATAGGATATCGAATGTTTACTGGGTTATTATTGCATTACGAGTATATCGTATTAAAAGTAAGTTAAAAATAACGAAAAAAAATTCTATGATGCACATATATATGTATAAGTAGTATGTACAATATTTAAGCGCACCATAAAGAAATCAAAAGTTTTATGTATATTATTTCTATACTTAAAGTAAACTTATATAACTTAGGAGAAGTGTGCATTTAACTATTTGAAATAGGTGAATTGTCACATGGTAGATTGTAATTCAAAGTCAATTTATTATCATCAATGTAACTGACACGTCTTTCATTACAAGAATATTTTCCAAAAAGAAAAAGGACGTTCTAAAAATGTGTTATGTTTTATTTATATGCTATTATATCACAAATCTGTGGCAGCCAGTATATTGATATACATGTACATGTTCCATCATTTTAATTACTACGCATGTGCTTGTTATTTTATCCTGTGCAGTAGCGCGTTTACCTATGAGCTTTTGGGGCTTGAGCCTCTGGGCGCCGAAGCGTCAGGTGCGCCGCAGCTTCTATATATTCATAAAAAAATGTTCCATTTTTAATTATCTTCTTCTTAAGTGTGTTTCGGTAGAATTATATTAGTATTTAAAATGTTAATTATTCACTGTTTACTGATTGGGGGAGGGAGGCTAAATCGAGGCGCTCGAAGATCACAAGCCCCTGGGCGCAAATTTTACAAACGCGGCCCTGATCCTATGTAATAAACGCTTTTAAACATGCCTTGTAATTTTTATTTGTTACATGCACATACTGCTTCCTTTCATATTGTGAACATTTTTGACCGATATAATTAAATTAGTGACATAAATTGAATTCGTATCTGGTATCGAAAATAGTTGTCAAAACAAAAGAGCAACCATCAACCCAGTAATATAGGCCGTAATATGGTTCCAATGTTAAAACAAATACTAGAATCAAAATTTTCCTAAAATAGTAACACGACAACTTTGCATACAAGTGTCTAAATCTAAATAAAACTAAAAATATAATATTAATTAAACAATACAAAATAAAATATTTTATTGTTCAAATCATTTATACGCAATATACAATAACTAGAATTACCATGTAATCACAATTATTCCGCTAATAAAAAACTATATTCAATATAATATCTTACATAAAAATAATAAAAAGTAACGTTCTTAATAAATTTTATGTATTATTTTAATAATATTTACTGCTTCTTTTAATGATATTACTAATACTTTCGTAGAGCGACAAGTTTCCTCGAAAACTCATCTCTCGACGGATATGGGCAGCATTATAGTCAAAATGTTAATAATTTTGATAGAGCACATATTTCCAGGAAAAAAATAAATATTGCCTTCCAGGTCAGTCATGTTACTATAAGTACTACAGTAGAGCAACAGACTCCTGCAAAAATTCACATGTCAACTGATATGAGCAACCTTACTATCAAAATATTAATCATTTTGGAAAACCACAAACTTCCAGGAAGATATATTATCGTCATCCGAGTCGTCTCGACATTCAGTCTTTTGCAATCGTTAGTGTTCAGCAGTTGAACGATTGAAATTGGAGAATTGTTGAGAATTTGTAACCCCCGTATTCGTCGACTTCAGAATATTAATTACAACTCTCAGGTAAGTGAGATAGTGCGTGAGACATTTTATTTTAAATGTTTAAAATGCTGTATATTTTATATATTTTATTTTTTTTATAATAAAAAAAATTATTTCAATAAATATACCGATAAATAAAATTTATATGCAAAGTATCAATGAATAATATATATTTAATAATATATAATAATGTTATAACGCTTTTTCAGAGGCGTGACGCAACTTGATTATATCGCTTTTTGCTCTTCATCTCATAAGCAACTGTTGCGAATAATCCATAATCATATGCAAGGATGCTTTATCAAAATAATCACGGCAAAGATTATTTCAACATATCTAAACACGAACTACGATTGCGTGTTTGTAACAACGAAAAAGATCTTGGGTGCGTTTGGGGAGACGCTATTAGCGCTATTTAGCGCTACGAACTGTTCGCGGAGCTAGATAGTAGCGCTAGCAAACGCTATCATGACGTCATCAATGGTGGTGTGTGACGTCATAACTGCGCGCTATCAACGCTATTCCTTCCGAGGTAGTGTGTTGGTAGCGTTAGCGTTTACGAGCTCCGTAAACGCTGTAAATTGTGTAAAATTGTCTAACCATTATTTGAAATCTATTGAACGGCAGCGATATATTAATATTTATTACATATGTACAATGGATAATTCCATCGAAATAACTCTAAAAGATGCTGAAACTGAAGAAGAGTTCAAGTTACGACTTTCACCGACTAGTGCTTTTAAAGCAGAAACCGGTAAGTATTTCTACGTAACTATTAGGTTATGGTTGTTTGATGATTGTGATTTTACTTATTTGTTTTAGTATTATTATTCTTATTTTTAGTTTTTTTATATAATTACATATTTTTACATATTTTTATATAATTTTATATAGTTGTAATTAATTTAATATATGGGGTTTTGGCTTTTATCACAATGTTAATTTAATTTTAAAATATTAATCCTTTATCTTCTTTGTCATTTTCTGCAAATCTATTTTGTAACTTTTAATGCATACATTACAAATATTTTTATGTAGACAAAATATATCATAAAGTAGCTATGCAATAAGTAGGAAAAATAACGAAATTGTCATAAGTTACAGAATAAAGAGAACGTTTTTTATGTGCTTTAATTATTTTACATGAGATTTGAATTTTGCGACTACATTATTGAATGTTGCACGTCAAGGTGCATGCTTTGGTCAAAACAGTGCATGTTCTGGTAAGAATTGTTTTAACAATCGTAACTCATAGTAATAATATAGTTTATATCTATTGCTTGATGCATGTATGAAACAATCTGTGCTAACTATATCTGTCTTTCTTTGTATTAAAAAAAAATGATTATTTTTTAGAAACTGAGCATATGCAGACTACAATATCATATGATACTCCGTTGGAGGAAGCATCTGGTTACCAGATTCTGGTATGTGATTAATTTAATTTCTTCTTGACATTGTAAGGTAATTTGGTAATTAATTATATGTATTGTTTTTGTAGATGATATATATATGTTACCTTCTCAGGAACAATCTCAAAGAGAAACGAAAGAGGAAATGAGAGAAGATCCATTGTTTGAAAACAAGGAAAGTAAGGAAATTTTACAATATGAATTGTAATCATTTTAAATTTTATTTTTATGTTTGTTTGTTAAGCAATTTATCTAATTATTTTCTGTTTTGTTAGAGGTTATATTGATTTAATATGTTATATTCATTGTTAAAAATATGTATCTTTCTTAAGCAATTATTATTTATTTGTAATATCTGACCATTTTTATGTATTTTAGAATGTCTGGTCTAGATGGAGGTAAAAAGAAGCCCTTGAAGGCACCAAAGAAGGAATCGAAAGTTTTAGATGATCAGGATGTAGCATTTAAACAAAAGCAGAAGGAACAGCAAAAAGCATTAGCAGAAGCAGCGAAGAAAGCCAGTCAAAAAGGCCCATTAGTTACTGGTGGTATAAAGAAATCTGGAAAGAAATGATCTCATGTAGCAGTGGGTGAAATTTGTGATTTACTGTGCACATGATGATTACAACAATAATTATGGATTGATTAATTGTTATATAAGACTAACTTTTTTTTATTGGTTTTTAATTTTGAGTAAATCTTTAAACTTGTAAATAAAATTATGTATGTATTTTGTGTTAAATTTTTATAAAACCGATATTAATTGAATTGTATTGAATTTGTATGTATATTAATTAATATACAGGACTTATATTTCACAGTAATTACAAAAAAAATTCAAAATTTATAAAACAATATCAATCCACATTTAGAATATGTCAGTTTTTGATGTTAAATACTATTGATATTAAACTGTTACATTCTCAATATAATTATATGTTGTAATTATGTCATCTATTATGTGATTCTTTTTAGGATTTTGAAAAGGATTTGTGTAATGTAAAATGATATTTTATTCAATATGTGCGCGTTTAAATGTATTATTACTATTTGCTAAAAGGACTTGTCCTTGAAAGTTACAGTTTTATATGAAATGCCAAATTAACTCTCATATTCAATGTATTGATATGCAACATAAAAATAAAAACAATGTATCTTTTATACTTCTATGTGTCATATTATATAAAATCAACAGTATTAAAACTGCAATAATTTTATGTGAAATTTATAAAAACTTTATTTTATAATAATTTTAATTTTTCTAGTTTAGTTTTCTTATAAAGAAGATTTTTGTTTCATTCTAAAAAGTAATTTAGATTAAAAGATTTATCATCATATAATTGATTAAAAATTGAAATATAAATATAAAATATAATATATTGCAAGCGTTTTAGAAATCAATTTTTCAGTTAGATTCTAACTGATAAGGTACGAATATATGTGGCTTTATCTGTTATTGGAGATTTTTATTTTTATAAATTGTAATCATTTTAAATTTTATTTTTATACACTTATTTTTTTTCGATTGCTAAGCAACTGTAGCTGTTTTAACATACGCTACCACGCTACGCTATTGCTGTTCACGCAGCTCGCATTCGCTAGCGCTATCTTGGCTTCGTGAACAGAGCTAGTAGCGTTAGCGTTGATAGTGCGATAGCGAGCTCCCCGAACGCACCCCTTGGCGAAAGTTTACGTAGCTTGGCTGAATATCTTATCCACGTGTATATCAGCATAAGTCCAAAGATCATGATGAATTATCCACTTGTGAATACAAGTAGAATTGAGAAATTTCAAGATTTATGTAACGAAAATATTGTAGGCAGAAATTTTCCCATCACTGACGTCATAAATAAATTTTATTTTATTCTTAAGCTGTACCATATAATTGTAAATAGTTCGAACGCCAATTCAAATATCAAAAAATACTGTCTGCCGATTTTTATTATTCTCGGTCTTTTAGGAAACTGTTTGTCCGCTATTGTGCTCTTTCGTAAAAAGATGCGTTCTTTCTCGTCCAACATCTACTTGAGCGTGTTAGCAACGAGCGACATCGTCTATTCGATGATATCACTCATTAAATGGCTCCACATAATGGATATAATTAACCTAATAAGAAATTATATGTATTGCTTAATTTTTTTCGTGCACTTTTTGCTCTTCTTTTCCGAGTTTTTGAGTGTGTGGCTTATAGTAGCCTTTACCATCGAGAGATTCATAGTGACAAAATATCCGCTTCTACGTCGATCCTGGTGCACTGTCAAACGAGCAAAAATCGTAGTAATCACGCTGATGGGACTAGCGATTTTGCGCAGCATTCTACTTATTTATTATTATTACATGCTCTATGAATTATATAAAAGAAACAGCAATATGTATAATGTGTACAAAAGTGTAATACTTGGCAAACAGTATGGATTTCTATACACAAAGCACATTATAGATTCTATTATAATATTTATTTTACCTGCTCTCGTGATAGTAATCTGTAATACTCTGATAGGATACTATATTTACCAGCAAAATCGTGATCGCAAAACCTTGATTACAGCGTCTGATTCTTCTAATAGGAGAATTCAGATTTCTAATGATAAAATACTTCTGCATAGGATCACAATAATGCTTATTCTCGTTTCGAGCATATATGTAATTTTTAAATTTCCTACATATTATATTCTTCACATTTTTAATTACGTACGTATCATTAATTCAAATATTAAAATAATACCGACCATAATATATAGTTTAATTACTTCATAAATGCATTCTGTATTTGTAATGTACAATATGTAATGCATGTAATAAATATGACATAAAATATTAATTAATTTTTCTCTTAAAATTTAAATTTTTCAAAATAATTTATACTGTTTAATTTTTACATTATGAATAAAATTGTATAATAATTTTTTATATTAAATATCTACGTAAGAAAATAAATGCCGTAAAATACGACACATTATTATCAATAGTTATATATAACAAAAATAACAATAATAATTTTTGCAGATGCCGAATAGCATGGCACCATATATGGATGCGATATTCGACTTATTAGACACAGCACATTACAGTATAAATTTCGTTCTCTACTGCGCAACTAGACAAACTTTTCGCAGAGAACTAATCCGTATGTTTACGAAACGTACAAATAAGAAAGAACAGAAATATCATGGGAATGTACAATTAAAAGTAACAGTATGATTGATGCCCAATTATGCAGTCATAATACGGTAATACCATAATTAAAGGCGGCGTTCTACACTGCAAAAAAAATCGATAACTTTACAAAACTGGATGTAAAAATTACATGATAAATAAATTTAGTAAATATATATTGCAAATTTGCATAATTTCATAAATTTTATACTATTTACTTAATATATTATTTGTCATGTAATTGTTACATCTTTATTGTGTAAATTTACCAAATTTGTTGACAATGTGCATACTTATATTACATTATATTACATTAATCAAAAATTCTTTTACCATTTTTGTTATATGACTTTTATAATTAAATGTATAAAAGCAAAAATTAATCCATTTTTTGTCAATTTGAGAATACGTTGCATTTTGTTACAGCTTGCAAGTTTACGTCCAATCGCACTTCAAACAAAACAATGTATTTGGTAACAACACACAACTGAAAGTGTCTCACGAGAAGCTAACACTCCTAATGTACACGAGAAATTATAATATACATTAAACTTTATAAAAATATAATTAATTAAATAGCTAAAGTTAATTACCATGCAGATATATGTAGGTAGTATATACAATATTTTGGCGTACCATAAAAAAATGGATTGTTTTATCAATTTTCTTAATGAATGTAAGCTTATATAACTTAGAAGAAGTGTTGATTTATTATTTAAAATAGGAAAATTATTACATCATAGATTTTAATACCAAGACAATTTGTTATCATCAAAATTACATAAATGACATCTATTCATTACAAGAATATTTTCTAAAAAGAAAAGAACGTATTAGAAACAAATAGCGTACTATTTACACGTCATTATGTTACAAATATTTATACCAATTAGAGTATTTATGTACAAGTACATATCTAATAATTTTACTTACTACTCATTGCTCATTTGCTGCAACAGTGACATAACTGAAAAATCACGATTTTCCAGAAAACGAGTTTAAATGTTTTCAATCGTACATAATAAATAATTTGATAAGAACATCATTTGTCATATTGGTATAATAACATATTATAGTGTAGGATAACAGTAATATAATATTGTCCTAGTAAAGTACAGATCCCAGTACAAGTAAGGACCGTTTTTTTTATACCTTCCTATACCTGTTATTAAACAACATTTTAAATTATGTTATTGTTGCAGCAAATGAGCGACATATGTATGTACATTATTTCTCATATACAGGCAAACATTTGCCTGTTATTATTCAAATGAATTACCCTGTATATATACATATAATAAACGCTTTTAAATGTGTTTTGTAATTTTTACTTTCTACATATACATATTGCATCCCCTTATGTTGTCAACCATTTTGAATGCGCCGCAAATATTTTTTCCAATATTAAAACAAATATCAGTATTTCAATGTTTCTAAAATAGTAATATGATAATTTTGCATGTAACCGAATAAATTTCAATAAAATTAAAATTTAATATTAATTGAATAGTACTATTAAAATATTTTATTGTTCTAGTCATGTAATATGTAATATACGATAATTACAGTTGTCATGTAATCATAAGTATTATAAAAAAACCTATGTCCACTGTAATATATCTTTTATGAAAAAAATAAAAAATTCTGTTATTAATAATTTTTTTGTATTATTTTTTATTATTTGTAGTAATATTTATTGCTGTTTTAAAATGTTATTAGAAACACTTCAGTACAGTGACAGGCTTTTGCAGAAACTCAAATGTCAACGGATATGAGCAACTTTCCAGTCAAAATTATCATTTTGGTAAGTCACAAACTTCCAGGAAGAAATAAATCATCATCCAAACCAGTCGTCTCGATATTCACTGTTTTTATGGATTCTGCGATCTTATCGATAGTGTTAAGCAGTTGAACGATTAAAATCGGGAAATTAATTGCTGAGATTTTGTAGCCCCATACGGACGGGTCCCGTATATGTATATAT